CGCTGCCATGGGTACATGCAATGGCATCAGTCTGCATAACTGGTACCTTCACCACAGATAGCTTGAGAAAAAGTCAAGATAAACGGAGTCACACATTTCTATTTGAAATACTTTTCTAAACTTTGTTTTTGCTAAATGTAGCCTTTGTTTTCAGTTGTAACTTTGAAGGAAAAGGTAGCACCAGAATAAAAATGTGGTTACCAAATTGAAAGACTGTCATAGGTTTGGAAGCATTAAACTGAAAAATGGCACTAAACTTTGCAGGGTGAAAAACCCAAATCTGTTTCGATAGTGGGGTCTCGGTTTTTGTTCTCTGTGTAAAACTTACAAAGTACATAGGATTGGCCAGCAGAGGGAGCCAAAACCATGCATATAACTTTACAAAGTTTTTTAGGAAAGAGGACTATTAAAAACTGCAAAATGCAAATGAACCTCATCTTCCAAGAATATATGCAAAAGTTGTAGAAATCCTATAATTTAATGCTACTCTGATGCCAAGCACATTAGAGAAATTTCAAAGCTAGAAGGATTCTGAATCTCAATTAGTTCAAAAAAGCAGCATCCCTCCCTCCTTCCCTCCTATTCTCTCTCCTCTCTGGGGCTGGTTTGTAGTAACTCCCCAAAGCTAGGTCATTTGTATTCTATTTCAGTGGAGACATTCTGTGAGCTAGCAACACTTTTTTAGCTACTGCTGCAGGGAGCGTGCTGGTTATAGGTGTGTTGAAAAGAAACAGCAAGAAACAGGTCTGGCTCAGACCTCTTAGCTCAAGCTTCAGATAAAACTTAGGAAAGAGCTGAGAAACATTTTTTGTGGCAGATTGTGTTTTTTAAAAAACTGCTGCCCCTAAACAGACATGTGTTTCCCTTTTCTGCATCATACCTGCGTGCGTCAGAATACTTACAATCCAACTTTGACATCCTCTGAGCCACCCCTTGACTAACTTAGGAGAATGGAATTGATTGAAAGATACTGGTTTGTACCACCCTTTGAACAGTTTATAACTAAAATTTGGGGAAATATTTATAGTGAAAAATGATGAGTTTATTTGGAACAAACTTATGTTCACAAGTATGAAAATTCAGATTTAATGGATAATTCCAAAATTGACATTAGGATAGAATATAACTGTTCTTTACAAATGCATGTATTATTAAACACCTTCTTATAAAAACCAACCAACCTCAAATTCAGCGGTTTCACTGGCAAGTTCCAGCAGATATTTAAGGAAACCACAGTCATCTGAAATAAAGTCTCCCAGAGAAGAAAACAGACAGCAATTCACAACTCCTTCCGTGAGATAGGCATTATCTCCACATCACAGACCACAAGGGACTCCCACCTCCAAAAAGATGGGGTGGACAGATATTCTCCCATTTCTCTGAGGAGGCACAGGTGGAAAGGTTAAACAAATAAACACAGGATGACTGAAAAATTGAGAGAAAGGCAGACTGGATAGAGACCTTGAATCTGAGGAAGGACACAGTTTAAGTCGCTTGCGTTTTCTTTCTACTTCGTATGTCCCAGCTTTATGAATTTTTTTCTCACCCACTGTATCCTTAGCACCCAGTAAAGTAGCTGGCAGATAGGAGGTACTCAAAAGCAGGGGAGGGGGAGGTACGGATTCTTTCTCTTACAAACTAAACTCAGATAAACTATTATGCAAATTGATGTGATTTGCCATTCCACTTGCACTGGAATAAATCTTTGTGTAAAGGAGTAATCAGTGACTTTAAATCCTTCAGTTTACATTTTAAACAACCTATGATATAGCTTTCCTTACAATTTCTATACATATTCATGAAGACACACCAGTCAACACTGAAAGATCACCAGGAAGAGAAAAAATCCTATTACACTGACAAGACAGTTTCCTTAATCAGATGGTACAGCTCTATTCCTTGTTAATCTGAATTTAGTTCAAATTAACTAAAGAGCTTTGTTCAGCCTGTGACAGAACTAGACACGTACAAAATAAGTTTCTGACAATTCACATCAATTTATTTTTGCAATAATCATTTATTGCAAAAGGCTTTTAAAAAATATATTGAATTGGCATTATATCAAGATGAAATAAACTGCTTTATAAAAAAAGGACTTCATCAAAGATTTTAGTAGGCTTCCGTAAGATCAGTATGAGATATCTGTTTAATAAATATGTGCATTTATTTTTTGCTTTACTTGGAAAACCTGCCAACATAATTTGCCAACATGTTTTAAATCAGATTCTCTCATCTAATGTTTAATAGGACAAGAGGAGACAAAAGGGAAAGACAGTTAAATGTCAATTTGCCTGATTATTTTTTAATATGCAAGAGTTTTCACCGGACAAGTCTTCACTGGACAAATTGAACGGGGAGATTAGTTAATATGAACCAATTCAGTATCTATTTCCCCATTTCAAATCTTTATCACTGAAGAACAGTTTACCCTGTTCATGCGGACTCTTAAGTGTTCTAAATTTGAAGTTACCAAATACATGTATATTAATAAAAAGTATTTTTAAAATTATATATATATATGGTAAAGCAATGTTTCTCAGACTCACCTGATCTTGGGTAGGTCTACTTGGGTGCTCGTTTCAATGTGTGGATTCCCAAGCCTCCTCCCTGGGGGTTGATTCCTATATAGTTTGGGGGCGCTCAGGAATGCACACCAGCAAAAGCACTGGGGTGAGTTTACTATCAGGCCAATTAGGGACATATGTGATGTCACAGAAACAACGCTGACCTAGTCTTAGGGTGCAAAACACCAAGGTTGCCAGGGCTTCTGTTTGTCCTTAACCAAGTCATTTTAATCTCACTGGGTCTAAATTTCCACAATTGTGGGGAAAAAAAAAAACCAGACTGTTTTTAGTCTCTAGACTCTGTGAAGACAGGACCAGCTGAGTTCTATGCACAGCTCCATCCCTGTGCCTCGCACAGAACAGCCTCTTGGTTATAATCTGTTGACAAATCCCTAGTTAGACAACCTGGAAGATTCCTTTGTGACTTTAAAATTACATTATCCTAAAATAAATAATGAAACAATTCACTTGGTCAGTCATTTACAAAACAACGATTATTCTCAAAGCAAAACATAATATAAGCCCCAAAAAAAGGGCCCCCATTTCTTTTGACTGGTCTCAGGGCTATGTGTTCCTGATGGGCATTTCAAAGGATCTAACTTGGGTGATTTGATTTCTTCTTTCCAGGGCTGTGATGGTTAAAGGCAGTGAACTAGAAGCATAGAGCACAAAGTTGAGTCTGGAAAACCTAGTAAATTCTGAGAAAAAGAGTCAGTTTTCCTGCTACATGTACAGGAATATTGGCGTCACAGCCTGACTTGCAGGATTTTTGTTACTTTAGTCCCAAAACGTACTGTTAAGTAACAAGTCCAGAACTATCACGAACCTTCCCCGGCGCTGTGCAGTAATAACTACTTTTGAAACTGATTATGCAGGAAAAAAAAAAACCTCTGAAAACTAACATTTCAGGTCTCCACAGGAGCAGCATCAACCTCACCTGGGGAATGCAAATTCCAGAGCTCTGCCCCAGACCTAGCGAATGCGAGGCTGGGGGCGGGGCAGAAAGCACTACCCTAAACCCAGTCTTCCAGGTGATTCTGATGCACACTGAAGGATGAGAACCACTGAGGCGGTAAACAGGACTCAGGAAAACACACTCAAAGCAAGCGGAGTCCAAGTCTCTATAAACCTCCTACCATGTATCAGAGCTGAAAAAACCCCCATCAGAAACAACGCTGACCTAGTCTTAGGGTGCAAAACACCAAGGTTGCCAGGGCTTCTGTTTGTCCTTAACCAAGTCATTTTAATCTCACTGGGTCTAAATTTCCACAATTGTGGGGAAAAAAAAAAACCAGACTGTTTTTAGTCTCTAGACTCTGTGAAGACAGGACCAGCTGAGTTCTATGCACAGCTCCATCCCTGTGCCTCGCACAGAACAGCCTCTTGGTTATAATCTGTTGACAAATCCCTAGTTAGACAACCTGGAAGATTCCTTTGTGACTTTAAAATTACATTATCCTAAAATAAATAATGAAACAATTCACTTGGTCAGTCATTTACAAAACAACGATTATTCTCAAAGCAAAACATAATATAAGCCCCAAAAAAAGGGCCCCCATTTCTTTTGACTGGTCTCAGGGCTATGTGTTCCTGATGGGCATTTCAAAGGATCTAACTTGGGTGATTTGATTTCTTCTTTCCAGGGCTGTGATGGTTAAAGGCAGTGAACTAGAAGCATAGAGCACAAAGTTGAGTCTGGAAAACCTAGTAAATTCTGAGAAAAAGAGTCAGTTTTCCTGCTACATGTACAGGAATATTGGCGTCACAGCCTGACTTGCAGGATTTTTGTTACTTTAGTCCCAAAACGTACTGTTAAGTAACAAGTCCAGAACTATCACGAACCTTCCCCGGCGCTGTGCAGTAATAACTACTTTTGAAACTGATTATGCAGGAAAAAAAAAAACCTCTGAAAACTAACATTTCAGGTCTCCACAGGAGCAGCATCAACCTCACCTGGGGAATGCAAATTCCAGAGCTCTGCCCCAGACCTAGCGAATGCGAGGCTGGGGGCGGGGCAGAAAGCACTACCCTAAACCCAGTCTTCCAGGTGATTCTGATGCACACTGAAGGATGAGAACCACTGAGGCGGTAAACAGGACTCAGGAAAACACACTCAAAGCAAGCGGAGTCCAAGTCTCTATAAACCTCCTACCATGTATCAGAGCTGAAAAAACCCCCATCATGTATCTACTCAGTCAGGTATCAACACAATCAGCCAACATGCTTTCATCGAATAACTTAAGATTTCTCCTTTTGAAAAAATATTCTGAAAATACTGATCCTGAAATGAAAAAACAAGGTAAACTACTGACCTTTAGGATATTCAAGTCCCGCTTCCACGTTACAAGTAAAACACAAATTTTTAATACAAACATTGCCAAGTATTACCAGATTTTGTTTTATTATTATTAAAACAGTAACAACAAAAAACGAGATTGGGTATGCAGTGTCACGTCAATCCAAAAAGCAGTGATCGAGAACTGGGGATGTGCAAGAGCCTAAGGGTAACTAACTTATCACGAATGTGTGACTCTACGTTGCATGTCAAGACAAGCTCTAAGCTACAGAATTCTGAAAACCCTAACACTCTGTCTCCTAAAGCACCAGCAAAGGGGAAAGGGACTTTTAATCTGAGCGCAGAGCAGTGGTGGAGGTGCTGGTGCTCATAACCACCCCAGGGCTCACTCCTGGGCTACCAGGGGAGGAACCGAGATATCACAGCAGGAAGGCCGGAGAAGGCGGGCCGTTCCACACAGCTCTGTGGCTTCAGAGAACAGGAGTCTTAAGCTACGTTTTTAAACACTGTTTCCCCCAGTCCTAAAATTCACCCAGGAGACAGAGGCTGGCTTAACCTTAAGCAAACAAGAGAAAACTGATCAGCCTGCAGGGCCGCGTCCTAGTCGGGAATGTCAAACGGCTGCTCGCTGATGACCTCCCCGGCCTCGGTGACGATGGCATCGTAGACCCAGCGGCGGTTGCAGCGGCACTCCGGCCCGCACTTGTTGGAGTTGCACTTCGGGCAGGGGTAGAAGCAGCCCAGGCAGTTCTTCTCCAGACAGTCGCACAGGTCCGCGTCGTTGCAGATGAGCCTGCCGCTTTGGTCGTATTTCTTGCCTCTGCAGAGGAGAAGAATGGCGCTAGCAATCTGCCTAAATGAGCTCCTTTTGTTCTGAAGAAGCAGAACCCTAAAGATGACCCAGGCACCCTTCAGAACTTGAGAAGGCAGTATGTCCTGGGAAATTCAGCCCATACATTCCCTGACAAATGCAGTCAGGCTGTCACTGAGAGCGATGCTCCGTCCTTCCAGCATGCTGGGGGTGTGATAGCCAACCGAAGCCAATTGTGAGGAATAGCTGATTGAAAGCTACTGAAAGCTTCCTTCTACAACATTTCACTTAGAAATATCACCATTCTTAATGGGATTTTTTTCCTACTACATTACATTATTATTTTTTTTCTTTTGTAAGAGAAGCACTCCATATACCTAAAACTGGGCTTCACCTGGTGGCTCAGTGGTGATCTGCCTGCCAATGCAGGAGACACGGTTCCTTCCCTGATGCAGGAAGATTCCTCATCATGGAACTAAGATGCTGTGCCACTGGTCTTGAGCCTGTGCTCTCGAGCCTGAGAGCTGCAACTACAGTGCCCAAGCACCACACTAGAGAAAAGCCCACACAGCAACCAAGACCTGATGTAGCCCCAAACAAATAAATACATCAAATAAAAACAGTGGTCAACTGTTAAAAAAAAGAGGAGGAAGGAACTTCCCTGGTGGTCCAGTAGTGAAGAATCTGCCTGCTGGTGCAGGGGACACAGGTTTGATCCCTGGTCTAGGAACTGAGATCCTACATACTGCGGGGCGACTCAGCCTGCCAGTCACAGCGCCCGAGGCCCGAGCACCGCAGCGCCTGCGCTCCCGACGAGAGAAGGCATGCCTGAGGGGCCCGGCCCTGTGGCGTGCTGCGACGGAGAAAGCCCACGTGCTGCAGCGAAGGCCCGGTGCAGCCGGGAACAGATAGACTTTAGGAAGAGAGAGAACAGAACAAGCACTGTGTGAGCACAATCACATTTCGAGTGACTCAAACAGGCGTCAGAACTGCTAGTTACTACACGGACATCACTGAGACAAGAACAGGCAAACCCAAGCCGCCTCTGCTAGCCGCCTCCTGAGGCCACGGCTTCTGTCCCGGTCTCACTGTCCTTCACCCAGTATGGGGCAGGAAACGCGACGAGTGGAAGACACGAGAGATTGACCTCCTGATTCGTGGGACCCTTGATGCCTTCAGCCTCTACAGCAAGTCCAGGAAGCAGAAGTCTTCCACCACAACTCGGCCACCCTCTCAAAACCAAACGGTTCTGAAACAAATCCTTCATACGGAGCTGCCTGAAACCCCGAGAATGACAAAAGTCCCCATGTAGGGCCTGCACCCGTGATTCCCAGCTAAAGTCGGACAGGCTGTGAAACTGACCTTCTGCACCCAGGGTCCCCAAGCGTTACCTCCCCTTCCTGTTAGCGGAGAAGGCTAAGGGGCTCTACACATTTGCCTGATCATCTCAATGTAGCAGGACAGCCTTCCAATGAGGACTTACACTGGAAGCATTTCATCTGAGGAATGAGAGTGCCTACACACAACAGGAAACGCAGGTGTCAGTAGCCAAGGAAATAGAAAATCTATTATGGGAACGACAAGGATGGGGAGCCACGCAGCCGGCAGAGCCCAGCTCAGCCTCTGAGCGCCCTGCGCCTTCACCCAAACACTCCCCACCACAACTCAGACGTCAAGACGGGTCTTGGCTTCCTGCCCACTGATGCTATCCACTCTAAGAGTCTAAGCTATTATATGTACAGAAGTTGTACAAGACACATTCATAGATCAATAAAACACACTTTTGTGTGCCCACTGCCCAGCTTAATGAAGGGGTGTCGCGTCTTTGACATCTTCTTTATGCCCCACCCACTGGATCCCTCCACTTGGCCAAAAGGAATCTCATCTCCTTGTTTTACTTTTTGTTGATGCCATATGTATCATTCAGATGCAACATTCAGAAAATTAAGATCATGGCATCCGGTCCCATCACTTCATGGCAAATAGATGGAGAAACAATGGGAACAGTGAGAGACTTTATTTTGGGGGACTCCAAAATCATTGCAGATGGTGACTGCAGCCATGAAATTAAAAGATGTTTGCTCATTGGAAGGAAAGCTATGACCAACCTAACAGCATATTAAAAAGTAGAGACATTACTTTGCCAACAAAGGTCCATCTAGTCAAAGCTATGGTTTTTCCAGTGGTCGTGTATGGATGTGAGAGTTGGACTATAAAGAAAACTGAGCGCCAAAGAACTGATGCTTCTAAACTGTGGTGTTGGAGAAGACTCTTGAGAGTCCCTTGGAGTGCAAGGAGATCCAACCAGTCCATCCTAAAGGAGATAAGTCCTGGGTGTTCACTGGAAGGACTGATGCTGAAGCTGAAACTCCAATACTTTGGTCACCTGATGTGAAGAACTGACTCACTGGAAAAGACCCTGATGCTGGGAAAGATTGGGGGCAGGAGGAGAAAGGGACGACAGAGGATGAGATGGTTGGATGGCATCACCATCATCAATGGACATGAGTTTGAGCAAGCTCCAGGACTTGGTGATGGACAGGGAGGCCTGGCGTGCTGCATTCCATGGGCTCATAAAGGGCCAGACACGACTGAGCGACTGAACTGACTGGCTGACTGACGCCATATGTATCTCCAAGCACACTGCATTTTCCCTTCTGTAATTTTCTTTTTGAATTCTATATCATGATTTGAGATTCATCCATGGTAGCACATGTAGCTATATTCAAATATTTTTACATCTATATGTATTCCAGTCTACCAGCTACTTATCTTTTCCATAATGGATAAGCATTTGGATATTACTGCTTTATTTTCTTTGCTATTGCAGAGATGAGTTTGTTGAACATGTCTCCTGTTGTACATGTATGGGTTTTTCCAGGATATACACCCAGGAGTGAAGGTGTTAGGTCATAAGGTGCATAGGCAATGCAAGCTGTTTTCAAATAGTGGTTGTCATATTTTACACTTTTTCATGTCCCATGGCTTCATCAACAGTGATATCAGAAGACTAAACTCTTTACCCATCTGGGCAGTGCAGTACTTCCCACACAGTACCGATAAAGAAGCTTCAGCATCCTGAGTGTTCACTAGCCTTTCTGTGTGTGTGCGCGCCTGTGTGTGTTGCTCAGTCGTGTCTGACTCTCTGTGACCCTATAGGCTGTAGCCCAGCAGTCTCCTCTGCCACGGGAATTCTCCAGGCAAGAACACTGGAGAAGCCTTTCCCTTCTCCAGGGGATCTTCCCAACCCAGGGATCAAACCCAGGTCTCCTGCATCGCAGGCAGATTCTTTATCAACTGAGCCACGAGGGAAGCCCAAGAATACAGGAGTGGGTATCCTATCCCTTCTCGAGGGGATCTTCCTGATCCAGGAATCGAACTGGNAGGAAATTAGAATATGATTCACATGAAGTGATATGCTGTTGGAAAAAGAATATTGAACCTGAGAGGTGGCATACCTGAGTCCTTGAGCTAATTATTTTATTCATTAGTTGATCTGCCTTAGATCGGTTACTTAATCTCTGAATTCCTCAAATATTGCTGTCAGCACTGAATGAGAAGTGGTGACAATATTGAATAACTAAATAACAATCAAATAATAATCAGATTATTTTTAAAGATGGGAACAGGGTTATGAGTTCATAGCATAGGTCCTCAACTTCTGGGATCTAATGCCTGATGATCTGAGGTGGAGCTGATATAACAATAATAGAAATCAAGCACACAATAAATGTAATGCACTTGAATCATCCTGTAACCATCCCCTCCCCCCACCTCAGTCCATGGATAAAGTGTCTTCCATGAAATGAGTGCCGAGTCCCGAAAGGGCTGGGGACTGCTGCTCTAGGGATGCCTCCAAGCTCAGTGCCCTGGGGGTGTGGACCCCACCAGGGTATCCACGCAGAATACAGCCACCTGAGGGATCCTCTCTCAGTCAAAGCCAGGCTGCAGGAAGAAAACTCTTGCCTCAATGACTTTCTAGTGTGTTAGTGGAAATTTTCAAAATATCTGTTTGGGGATATTTATAATCTGAATTGGAGAAGGAAATGGCAACCCACCCTAGTGTTCTTGCCTGGGAAACCCCAAGGACAGAGGAGCCTGGCGGGTTACAGTGCATGGGTCACAGGAGTCAGGCACGACTGAGGGACTGACACAGACACGTAATCTGAAACTGAGGCTTCCCTGGTGGGCTCAGGGGGAACAGAATCTGCCCGCAATGAGGAACCGTGGGCTTCGTCCCTGGGTTGGGAAGATCCCCTGGAGAAGGGGACAGATACCTATTCCAGTATTCTTGCCTGCAGAATCCCATGGACAGAGGAGCCTGGTAGGCTACAGTCCATGGATCGAAGTCAGGCACGACTTACCGACTAGACAACAACAAGCTGGAAAGGCAAGTAATAAAGATGCTTCAGTGAATCCTGAGAACTAATTTTGATCATGCAGCACACATATCAGGAGGGAAGACAGTGAATGCTCTTTCAAAAGTTGCTAGAAGAAAGTAATCTGAGTTGCCCCAAAAAACTCAGGTTAACACATATGTGAAATAGGACATTTCTAACCAAAGGGAAACTTTCAATGTAACAAATCAGTAACAGAACCTCAGGCTTTTTTTATAAATAGCCTAGTCACTCTAAAATAATGTGCGTGTGTTTCTTTAAATTTCATTTTGGTTGGTGTGTATGGCTCTGTTTTACAAACGACCTGAGGAAACAATTCTGTATTTAGGTATCGATGTGCAATAGACACAGCTCAGCATCATCCACTATTCTCTGCAGTGCAGCGAGGGACTAGATGCCTCTGCTCAAACCCTGGCTCCGCCACTCTCCCTGGGGCGCTTTAAGCACATTCCTACTTCTAAGGCTCAGTTTCTCCGTTTGCAAAATGGATTAACAGTAGTATCTCGTGTTAAGGGTTAGATGTGTTAACATGGGCCAAGTTTTAGAGCCAGGATTAGTGTATCATGGGGAAAAAGCACAATTATATGAAAATACTTGACCATATTCTTTACAATTATTCTATTCCAAGGGTAGGACTTTATTGCACAGGACATTGGGAACTGAGAGGCACAGGGGAGACAAGTGAGATGAGACCAGCCTGGCAGTGAGCAGGGTGTAGATGAGGGAGCAGAGATCTTTCCCATGGAATCCTGATGCGGCCACCTTCCCACCCAAATCCAAAGCAACTCAGAGACTCCTTACATTGAGAACTCCCCCAAACACCACAGAATCATAGTATAGTACCATACCAGTTGCTTCTGTGTGATCTGGTCATTTTTCTCAGGAGAATTTTGACCTGCAGGTCTCTCTTGCATGGAATTGTTGTTTCCTGATTGTTCACTCATTTCTGATCACTAAAGAGAAGTAATTGGAAAAAATAAATACACATTAAATCATACATTCTGAGTAACTTAACCCTGTGACTTACCTGCTCTCTCCCTACATCTTACTCTCTTTCAAAGCCAGACTTAACTGGAAAAACCATTGATTTCCTGGCTCTTACTTTTTCTTTACCACTATCCTGCATCTAACTTCTCCAGAATGCTTTACTGACGTCTTCTCGGTCTGTACCTTTGACAGTTTTTAGCACTGCAGACCTCTCTGGAGCAAGTAACCCTGGGGCCATCCACTCCTGCTCAAGAGGACTAGAAATTCTTAGACATGGGTACTTCCCCCACTTACATTTACTTCCTTGAAAAACAGTAAGACCTGTTAATATATACACATCCTCAGTAACTCTGCAAACATCTCTGCTCCCATGGCTTCGTTATCACATCTTCCGAAATCATTGCCCAGGTTGCCTCCAAAAGCCCCAACTTCCTCACTCAAGTTTTCCGACAAATTTCTGACACAACTTGTGCTAAATGGAAGCAATCAGTTTTCCATACAACTCAGCTGCTTACATGCCTGTAATTTACTTTGAAATACTTCAATATACATACAAGACGTCTCGGCAGGCACGTGGGTGTGTGTGTGCACGCACGCATCTTAGACGAAGCTGATACACGCTGCCAATGATAAATGCACTCTGAGCTTCTCTACAGTGTTCTGCCAGAAAGGACCACGCTCCAGAGATGGTACCGCCGCCCTGCTGGCTCCTGCCTCTCTCATCAACGACCCATGCTGGGAGCCGGGTGCTGTTTCCAACACAGGACCTGAGGGTTACGCTCAGTTATGACCCCCGCTCTGCCTGCCCACCGGAAGCTCCAACCCCACCGCCGCCTCTGCACGCTCCCCTGTCTGTGCCCCTCCGGTGGGCTGCCCGCTCTTCTGCGCCCTCTCCAGGTCCCCAGGCGGGTCAGAAGTCGCGCTGACTTTTCGTTCCTCGCATCCCTGACACTGACTCTTCCTTCCGCTCTCTTATCAGGTAGCTGGTGTTGCTGTTTAGTCGCCAGTTCGTGTCTGACTCTCTGCGACCCCATGGACTGCAGCACGCCAGGTTTCCCTGTCCCTCACCATCTCCTGGAGCTTGCCCAAGTTCGTGCCCATCGAATCAGTGATGCCATCCAACCATCTCATCCTCTGAGCCCTCTTCTTCTGCCTTCAATTCTTGTCCAGCATCAGGGTCTTTTCCAATGAGTCAGGCAGAAGCTACCCCAAAGACAGCAGTAATAGTAGTAACAGCAGTAGGGACCAAGATGAGCGTAATGTCCACCTCAGTCTGACTAAACCTCCGCCTTCTCAGATTCTGTGCCCTGACCTCCCTTTTACATCCTTTCTTCAGAAAATGTGTCACTCTGAATTCTTTCTCTGCTCCGCTGAGATGTAAATCTCCTCCCAGCCTCCTAAGGCTAGTTTTACAAGCCCAGAAGGTCTTTCTCAAGGACTATGAACTATCCCTTTGAAATGTTATCAGCCAGAAAGACCAGGAACCCATTCGCCAGTCTCTGAGAGAAGGTAGATGCCTAACTCGCTCATTGGTGGAGTGGTGAGCGCCAGTTAGTAAACACAGGTGGCCTAATCACAGAGAAGAACATTTGCAAGCTTTGGAATTACTCAATGTGCCCAACACATCCCATGGATCTCGCCCCTAAAATCCTCTAATATTTCACTCCCACCTTTATTTCAGTGGAGTTGAGTTCAGACTGAGTTCTGGCTTTTCTTCTCTACAATAGCATGGTATAAAATCTACTTGGCCTGTTTCATTTGGTCGGGTGCAGTTTTTGCTCTGACACTATCCTATGCAATTTCACATCTCATCAGCCAGACATTCCTCAGGAGCATTTCCCCAGCCATCTGGAGATAAAACCACGTGGAACTATTTAAAAATGATCAATTCCTTGTCAGATGCCAGCCCTACTGGGGTGACCACTTATGGAGGAAAATCGTGATGATCTGCAATAATTAATAAGTTCCCCAGATGAATCCTTATCCTTAGGAAATTACAGGCGATGTTAGGATAGGTATAATTTTCTCCACTCAGTTTTGCCATCTCATCCTAAAACGACTGCCCACAATTTCTTCCTACGCTAAATTTACCCAGAACATTGTGGTCATGCCAATATTCTTAAATCAGAAATGTCTTTATCTGATTCCTATGAAGACTTCAGTGACTCCCCTCTGCCAATAACATCCCACATCCCTAGCGTATCAGTGAAGGTCCATCGAAATGAACTCTGGCGACCTATCTAGGCTCACCTCCCCATTCCTTTCCTTGCGCCAAAGCTAGTGAGCTACCCACTCCTGTTACCACCCCTCCCATCTCTTATCTAATTCTAGCCTTCCCCTTTGAACTCTGGTTTATCTCTTTACTCCAAGAAGCCTCCCCATCACTCTCATCCTCAAAGAATCCTTTCTTTCTTGGGCTCAGTTTTTGAAGCTTCCTCTAGAAAATTGCCCCCAGGGGGATCCTAAACCTTCTAGCTTCTTCATGTAACAAATTTTCTTCAACATGGGAATAGACATGACTTAATGGTCATCTTTGCAAACAAGAACATCTTTTGAAAGAGCATTCATTTAACTGCATTGGGAGAAATGAATATTTTATGCAAATCCTCGACCCAACATGCCTTAAAGTCCTTCATGAAATGTAGGTCTCCACAAATAGATTAGATCAGGGGTAAAACGTACTCCTTCCTACTCTGAATAAAACGAGCGTAATTTTTAGTAGAATTCCACCAGGTCCTAAAACTGTAACTGGATTTTATTAGGAGTCCAAAATATCTGTCCCAGGAAAAGTAATAAAATGGTTCAGAACTCCATGTATTCCCCTGCTTGGCATTTCCCATGCAGGGGTTCCGAACCAGAGAAATAAAGCAGGGGGCCCTTGAACTTAGATGAATAAAGAATACCTATTTATTTTTACTCATCTTTAACTGAAATTCTGATATTTCCTTTTATTATAAGGCAACCAACAAACCACAATAGGGTTAGTCATACTTTTGACAGAAGTTTTTTATTACTCATTATAGTTGAGGATATGTCAAATGTTATTGAGATTCATCGTCTTCAAAATGATGGTAGATCTGATTTGATGCATTAATAATAAAACATATGCATGATAAGTCACCTGAGTCTTGTCCAATTCTTTGCGACCCTATGGACTGTAGCCCACCAGGTTCCTCTGTCCACGGGATTCTCCAGGCAAGAATACTGGAATGGGTTGCCATGCCCTCCTCCTGGGGATCTTTCCAAACCAGAGATCGAACCTATGTCTCCTGCATTGCCAGGAGGGTTCTTTACCACTAGCACCACCTCGGTAGCCCCAGTAAAACATATCATCAACATAAATTGTTTTTTAACATTTTGGCAAGTGTATTTCAATATAATTGGTTTTCTTTATAACCTTATTGATTTTTTTCTGTATGATTAAAAACATCATTCTGGACCAAAAAAAAAAAAATTCTGATAAATGGTCCATAGATACAACAGCTGGCCAAAGGCATCCACGACACAAATAAGATTAATATTAAGAATACTGGAGTGGGTTGCTGTTTCCTTTTTCAGGGGATCTTCCTCACTCAGGGATTGAACCTACATCTTCTGCATCTTTAATGAAAGGCAGATTCTTTACCACTTAGCCACCTGGTAAGCCCAGTACATAGCTAGTACTCAATAAATATTTCATAAATAGCATGCTAATAAAGCTATTAGGCTCCTACTATGTGCCAAGTACTTTGTTAACCAGCATTCTACATATATTATTTCATTTAATTCCACTACTGCACTCTGAACTAGATACTGCTATCCCTGTTTTACAGATGAGGAAACTAAGGCCCAGAAAGACCATGTAGGCCACATGGGTTTAACATCCAGATTTGTTCGACCCCCTAAACTAAGCCCTTTTCAGGAAGTTACACTGCTTCAGGCTTTGTTTTTATGACGACCACAGTGTATCGTTTAGGGATGGGATATAATCAACCTGAGTCTCAGGGAGCCTTTTCAATGAAAGCTGGACTAGGAATAGGGGAAGATGCATTTAGATCAACTCAAGTCCACCTCCTCCTCCCTCTCTGTCCCCGCACACACCTCCAAGATGTGCTGGAAAAGGGTTCCCATCTCAGACACATGAGCCATAACTGACCTCAGGATTGGATTCAGAAGTCAGCTGAAAAGAAGAAAGTTACATACAGGTGAGATTACTCTTAAAACTCCTTTCAGAAAATGCTGACTGGGAAGAGCCCTGGACAGACAGGCTTTTCTCCAGTTTCTCAGGTTAGGAATCAGATGAAGTATGAATAGTTGACGTATACGTACAGGTAGCACCAGTGGCAAAGAATCTGCCTGCCAGTGCAGGAGCAACAGACTTGGGTCTGATCCCTGGGTCGGGAAGATCCCCTGAGGAGGAAATGGCAACCCACTCCAGTAATCTTTCCTGGGGAATCCCATGGACAGAGGAGCCTGGTGGGCTACAGTCCATGGAGTCGCAGAGCTGGGCACGACTGAGGATACACACACTACTACTACTATACGTACATAGGAACCAGCATGACAATTACGTTTACCTTTAAACTCCAGACCCATACACCCTGGCAAGGTCCTCACTCTGGAGGCCTCCAGAACTAGGTCACCCTAGAAACAGCACCGGGCCCTGAGCCCCGCATTTCTGCTTGCTCTCAGGCACCTGTCACCAAGGGCAATGCAGTGAAATGACTCACACCACAAGCACTTAACTCTCCCTTTGGGCTGCCCCCAGCACGGTATGGTTCAAGTCAGCTGATGGTATCTTGCACAAGGTAAAGTGCTTTTAACACTTTTATCCCTAAGGATATTCTCAAATTTTCAAGGGAGGAAGAGTCTTCAGTTTAAGCTCTAGCTCACTCTTACTCAGTAGCAAATAAAGGGGTTTATTCAGAGACGCTCTCAGTAGACACCCCTCAGAAAGCATTTAGAACACACACAGACACTTTCATTC